CACTGAATAGTTGACAAGGCTGACCAGGGGCAGAAATGGGACTATGTGGATCAAAGGGTACAATCTTTCAGTTACAGAAGATAAGTTCTGAGGATCTAATATACGGCATGTGACTAGTGTTAACAATCCAGTGCTGTCGTCTCGAAAGTCACGAGAGCGGATCTGCAGCACACACACAAAGCACGAGCGACACGAGATCTTGATCTGGGTAATCACTCCCTTCGTAGACACGTTTCAGATCATCACGCTGTACACTTTAAGTATATACAAGGATATTTGTCAATTACTCAATAATGTTGGCGCAAGGGGTTAAGCACCGCACTATGAAGCAATCAGCAGCCTCTGCAGCATGAGTTCCATCCCCGGCCGGCCAGGGAGCTACCCACATGGCGCAGCAGACCTCTCCTGACTCGCCCACTGCTCCCCTCAGCAGTGTGTTTCAGTCATTCCGCCTGTTCTGTTCCCCACTCTGTCTCTGGTGAATCCTCTCACTCCCCGCATCTCTGGCGTGTACCCCAGCTCTTGAAGGCATAAATAATGTTAAAAAAAATGTTGGGGCGTGGAGAAGAGGGAAAGACATGCAAGGAGAATACATGTGAAGACGGTGTCAGAGATTGGGGTGAGGCACCCACAGCCATGGGTGCCAAGAGTTTGGCAACGGCCAGAAGTCAGAGAGGCCTGGAGCAGATGGTTCTCTAAACTCTCACAACTGTGAGGAGACATTTCTACGGCTTTAGGCCACCCGTCAGTGGTGATCTGTTCTGGCAGCCCTAGGAAGCGAATACGCCCTTTGAATCAAATTAGGAAGAAGAAACTAAAATAAAGACATACTTTCTAGTGTAGGTATAATAAAATGGCACAGAAAGGAATAGAAGGAGGGCGGAAGACAGGATTCGGGGCGATGCAGACCCCAGGCAGGGAGAGGGTGCGGGGACCTCAGACTGGATCTTGGCCACCATTAGGGTCCTGGCTTTTGGTCTGCTCCATGGACTACCTGGTGTGTGTGACCAGATTAAAACCACTAAGGACAAGTTTTTAAAAAGCAGGTCAGGCAAGGCCCAAAGAAGAGAACAGGCCACGCTGTGGATTATGGGCTGTCCATTCGGCCCCCTGAAGCTCATTAAATAATTACTTAAAAAGAACACGGCTCCCCGCCCATCATCTGGAAGCCCAGCACGCTTCCAGGTCTGCTCTGGTGCCAGGGCCAGGGGGCATCTGTCCCATTGCCCAGCACACCCCAGAGAGGCCCTGTCCCTCTCCCAACCCGGGCTCTCCCACTCTGCCCCCCGCCCCAAAGCACATACACTGCCTGGTGTTTGGTCATTGTACTTGCTTCTGCTTTTCTTGTCTGCAGTCCCCCCCAGCAGCGTCAGGAGGGCTGAGTTTTGACTGTCTGGCTCAGGGCTGTCTCCCCAGGCCCTAGCACTTGGCACACAGTAGGCGCTTAATAAGGAGGAGGTGAAAGAAAGGATACTGAATCAATGAATGAGCAGTTTTGTGAACAGTTGCTCAGTGGGCTCAAGCGCTCATGTGTGTGTGTGTTTGGGGCTGTAGATACGGCACATGGAAAACGGGGGGACACCTGATACCCCCTCTCTTTGTCCAGTGCCCATGCACAGACACCCAGACACCAGGAATGAGGAGCAGAGTTCACCCAGATCCTACTTAGCTCATGACAACCCAACCGGACGTTTCTAGAGGACACAGGACACATTTCCTTCCATTCTGGGGTACAGGCCAGAGGCGCCGGAGACAGAGTGGGGAGCAGAACAAGGCAGACTACCGAAACACACTGCTGAGGGGAGCAGCGGGCACGACAGGAGAGGTCTGCCGTGCCATGTGGGAATCTCCCTGGCTGGCCGGGAATCAAACCTGCGCTGCAGAGGCTGTGGACAGCTTCACAGCGCTGCGCTCAACCCGCTGCGCCACCGGGAAGCCCCCTCGGTCATCCACTTGCACGCCCCACTGCTTCCAGGTGCCGGGACTTCCTCTACCTCACGGCCCTTATAGTTTGCTTTAAGTTAAATCACTCCCTGCCTGCCTCCCTGGTAGATTGCCTTAAAAGTGAAGAGACTCATAATGGCAAAGCAATACCAGTGCCCCAAACAGAGGGTGACTGTAAGCATGAATATAAAAAACCATGTTCAATTCTAGCTCAAGGTTCGGAGCCCAGGTCTGCTCTTTCCCAGCGTACTGGGCAGAGCCAGGCTGGAGAGACATTAAAGCCACAGAAGAGAAAATGAGGCTTTCTCGACGTGTAAGAACTGCTGTGTGACTCAGTCAGGTGACACCCCCTCTGGGTCCCATCGAACCGCACCCTGTGGAACCACCAGTGCAGCCCTCACCTTCCAGCCGAGCAGTTCCCATTCCACTTTTAGACCTGGAGCCCTTGCGGTGTGCTCTGGGGGCAGGCGCCTGCCCAGCTGGGTGACCTTGGGCAGGCCAGGGAGCCCCAGCTGAAGTCTCCCCTGAGGCTAGCTGAGGCCTCTCTCTTCCCCTGCAAGCCCCTCCCTTGTCCCAGCCCCTCCAGTGCCCCAAGGAGGGCAGGCACAGGGCCAGGCTGGCACAGGGCAGGTCCAGCTGGGCCCCAGCAAGCCCTAGGGAGCCCGGCTGAGCTCATCCCTTGCCCTTAATTATTTTCAGGCTAATGCGCATCTGAGAACCTCCATGCCATCGACAGGGAGGACCCTTGGGACTCTGGGGGCAGGGAAGTTCTTCAGGCCAAATGTCACCATGGAGGAAAGTGGCAGGGCCTTGAAAGAGGAAGCTGTACTTTCTGCCTCTGCTTTGTTGGGGAGAGCTGGGGCTAGGGCTGCGACATGCAGTTAAGGTTGCAGTTAAGCACAGACCTCCGCAGCCTCCCAGGCTCAGCGCTCAGCACCTTTTAGCGTCTTAGCCCCTGGCTGCTCAGCATGGCGTGGGGTGCCTTAGCACCACCAGGAGCTGTTGAGAATGCAGAGCCTTCAGGTCTAGACCTGCCGAGTCAGAGTCTGCCTTCTCACCAGCCCCCAGGTGATGTCTATGGTCACGTGCTGAGCTATGCCTCAGTCTCTCCATCTGCAAAACAGGGATTACAATTAGGCTTAAGAGGTACTTAGCAGCGTGTTTGACACTATTATTATGATTATCATTGTTATCGAGGCAACTATGGGAAAGACATTGGCTGGACCCAAGTGGACCACTCCCAGCCCCCCATCTCTCAGCACCCCAGAAGTGGGTTTCCACATGACCCACTGTGAAGATGTAGAGCCTGAGACTCAGCAAGGTGCGATAACTAGCCCAAGATCCACGCAGGCAACCCCAAGTTTGCCACCATGCCTATCCGACCCTCTTACTAATGGTAAGGGCGAATGGGTGGAACCGTTTTCTCTATCTGGCAATTGACATGCTCACAACCAGCCTGTGAGGTTACCCTTTCTGTCACCCCCTTTTTCAGATGAGGAAACTGAGAGATGAAGCTACTCAGCAGAACAGGCTGGGCTGCAACCACTCTGCCTGCCTCTCATCTATGCCATGCTGAGTGCCCTACACCACACCCCCTCCTGCCTCCCTGAGCTTGCTTCCCCAGCCCTGGCTCTGGGCCTCTGAGCTGCCCCTCCCACATCCTCACCACTAATGAGGTCTTTGCCAATTTGAGGCTGGGCCCACACCGGCCACTGGGCCTGCCTCTGTGGGAAGAACCTGTTTCCTTCCATTCTGGGTTGCTAGGTGTGGAGGATGGGGCAGGGGTCTTGGAGGGCAACGCAAGGTAGGCTCAGGACAGAGGCCTGGTCCGCCTGGCTGGGGCTCCCAGAGCAGCTGGCCTGGGCGAGGTTGCCCTCTGCCTCTGGAGCTCCGGGTTAGGATGCACTGGGCCTGGCCTGGGACTCTGCAGCCCAATCATTCGTTCAACACCCCAGGTCCAGGTACTGCTCTGCAGCCCTGGTGATGGATGGAACAGGCCCCGTCCTGGGGCGACAGACGGCCCCAAATCACACACCCTGGGAATCACACACCCTGGGAATCACACACCCTGGGAATCACACATCCTGGGAAATGTACACTTTCACAATCACAGGGGACCACTCTTGGGTGGAGATGGGGGAGGGGCTCCTAAGGAAGGACATTTAGGCTGATGGAAAGATGAAGTGGAAGAATGTTTCAGCTGAAGGCCCCCAGATGGGGAACAGAGAGACAGCCAGGCTGGGGGGAGTCAGGCAAGCTGGGTCCCCCATCCTCTGAGTCAGGACCTCCATCTTCTCCCAGAGGGTTCTCCTGAAAGCTGGGAAAGACCTCCCAGGATGTGGGGCTCCACCTGCACCCCTCCTGCCTTCCAAGCCAAAGACAGTGGCCCAGGAAAGTCGGGTGACACAGGCCTTGAAGGACTCATCCTTCCCGCTCTTGCGGGCTCCCACTGCCGAAAGGGGGGCGTCCCTGGCTGGGCTGCCTCCTCGGGTGGACAAGTGGGGGTCACTGCACCGCTGAGCCTCGGCGGTCCAGGCCTGGCCGCAAATCCCGCTTCCTCATGAACCTGCTGTGGGACTTCCTGGGGCCTCGGCCGCCTCGCCTGGGACACGGGGTCCTGCTCTGTCCTCTCCGAACAAGAACATTCACTCGGGGTTCGGCCTCGCCCCAGTCCTGCAGGGGACTCCGCCAGTCCCCGCCTCCTTGCCCTACTCTTACCGGCTTTGTGCCTCAGTTTACCCCAGGGAGCGGGCTGGAGCGAAGGCCCCCGGCCCCGCCCCGCCCCCGCCGGCTCCCAGCGCGCCGCCGGCCGAGCCCACCCGCCCCCGGGCCGCCAGCTGCGCGCAGCCCACGCCCCGCCGGGGCCACCCCGCGCCCGGCGCACGTGATCCCGCGGCAGGCCCGCCCCCGCCCCGGCGCGAGCCGCGATTGGCCGCCCGGAGGCCCCGCCCCGGCGGGGGCGGAGCGGAGCCGGAGCGGCCCCGCCCGCCGCAGCGCGAGGCTGCTGCGTCCCCGCGGTGCGCGGCGGCCGGACCGGGCGGGCGGGCGGAGCCGGGCCCGCGGGGCTTCTCGGGGCGATCGGGCCGAGCGGCGGGGGCGCCATGGTGAGCGGGCCGGGCGCGAGCCTGAAGGAGGAGCAGGGCGGCCGCGGACGGGGTGGGGCGCGCGGGGCCCCCCGCGGGCCGGGGTCCCCGCTGCGGGGGAGGGGCCGCGGGCGGGGGCGCGGCTTCGGGGGAGGGTCTGTTCGGGGGGCCGCGCCCGCGGGCGGGGGCTCTTTGTCCGCGGCGCTGCGGCGAAATCGGGACAAAGGAGTCGGCGGCCGCTTTGCGGGGAGCGGGTGTCCCCGAGCCCGGCGCGCGCACCCCGCCGCGGCCCGCAGCCCCCCCGGGCCGGCCGCCGGGCGATGCAGAAGGCGGGGTCCCCGCGGCGCCTGGACGGAGCCTCCCCGGAGGCTCCCGGGGGGGTGGCGGGTCCGGCGCCCCAGCGCCCCTCTCGCGGGTGGGGAAACTGAGGCCCGGCCGCCGCGCTCGGCGCCGGGTGCCGCTGGCAGTGGTGCGCGGCGCGGGCAGGGCTGACTCTCGTGGCCCCCCACTTCCCCCCGCGCCGCCCCCAGGCTGGCTTGAACGGCCTCTCCCGCCGCCGCTCCCCTCCGGCTGTCGCCCCCGGGCGGGGCCCCTGCCTCCCCCAGCCGCGCGGGGCCGAGGTGGGGCGACGACCCCCTGCGCGCAGGGTCGGCTGAGAGGGTGCGCCCAGCGCGCTGGCACCGCGCCCCACCCCGCCCGCGCCTGGCACGCGGCGCCGCCCGGCGCGTCCCGTCTCCGGGTCTCGGGCACGGAACGCAGGTCGCCCACCTGCCCAGCGGCGCCCGGCGGGGTCTCCTGGCCCCCAGCGCTCCGGGAAGGCGAGGGCGTGGCGAGGGGAGGGTCAGAGATAGGACATTAGAGTGTCTGGGTTGAAATCCGAAATCCGGGGTTCTGGATCCAGGCCGCCGGGACTGGAATCCCTGCGCAGCCACTCTGGAGCTGTGTGACCTTGGGCCACTGGCGTGACTTCTCTGAGCCACAGATTCTTTATCTGCAAAGTGTGTAAGGTAGTAAACTCAGTGCTGGGCTTGTTTTGAGGCCACAGAGGCATCTGTAAGAAGCATTTAGCTCAGTCTGGCTCGGAGTCGTCATAGCCAACTTTTGTCGAGCAGCTACTGTTATTGCCAAAGTTGTTTGGCCAAGTGCGCGCCCCCCCCCCCCCCCCGGGGCAGCCTGGGAGAATGACCAGTGACTGATTCACAGGGTGGGGGTTTGAGTCTCTGGCCTGAGCCCCAGGGGACCAGGACTGACCTTGGGGCAGTCCCCCAGCCCTGCGTGCCCCAGCTTCCTCTTCTGCACAGGGAACCTGGGGGTACTGCTGCGAGTTTCCTCTTCAGGAGGAGGGGGGTGCGGTGGTTGGCCGTGGAGGGTGAGATGCAGCGCTGGGCACAGCCCATCGTTGTTAGTGTCCCTCCCCATCCTGGCTGGCTGGGTTCTGGCTTTTTGGAGGGCAGGGGCTTGTGTGACACGATGTTGTGCCGTGTATCCATGACTGCTCGGGCCTGGCACGGAGCAGACGTCCCATCTGTGCCCTCCCTACAGGCAGACAATGTTTTTGGATTGTGAACTGAGGTTCCCTAAAAAGGCAGGGCCTGGTACACCTGGCAGAGGCCTTTGATGGGTTCAGGGGGCTTGGCTCAACCCCTGGAGCTAGTGCTGGAAGCTATGGAGGGGGTGTCTGGCCCCCTATGGCAGGGTGCCCCAGAAGGTGGAGGCTGCGGGTAGGGTGACAAGGTAGACTCGGGGACACTCGTGATGCAGCATCCTGTTTGTGCCTTTGGCGGGGACGGGCTCTGGCCCTCCTGGGAGGCAGGGCTCAGTGTGGGGGAAGTAAGGTCTGAGGGGTACATCCTCCCTGTGGCACCCAGGAAGACATGCCCCGTGACATGCAAACTGGTGGCCCCGTGGTCCTTTTCACACTTGTCACTTCTCATCCGCCCCACAGTCTGCTGTTGGGGTCGGGCTTCATTTCCATTTCCACAATGAGCAACTGAGGCCACTCGCTGCAGCTTGCTTGGCTGGTCAAGACAGCGCCAGAGAGTGGTGGGATAGGGTGGGGTGTAGAGGGGATTCGGGTTCTGTGCTGCTGGCTGCCGCCCCTGGACCTAGGGTGTGAACTGTGGCCTCGGGAGAGTTGGCATCGGGAGACACCGCCCTCGGTTTGCCAGTGGCCAAGGCAGGGACCCCGTCCTTTTGAGCCCACTGGTGGATGGAGGGGAGCCTGCGAGGCTCTGAGGGGGGCCTACGCAGGTGGGTGAGGCTGGCGTTTGGGCTTGTTTTCCAGCAGCACTGGCCCAGCCGAGGGAGGGGACTGAGGGCTGAAGGAGCCGGAGGGTGGGGCGTAGTGGGGGACTGGCCCCTATGTTGGGAGGTATCCCAGTAGCCTTGGGCTTCCAGGTCTGGCTCTGACTGAGGGAGCTGGCGAGCAGAGGTGGTGGGTATGGGCTGTTCCCCAGTCCCGAGTGCCAGAGACCACAACTCCTGTGTCAGTTTCCACGTGTGTAAAGCGGGGATGGAGACGGCGAGCAGGCAGTGGGCAGTCACTCCTTAGGGGCTGGCCTGAGGGTCCAGGTTTCCTTCGTGCCATCTTGGGTGTCTCCCCAGCCCAAGCTCTAGCCCGCTGGTCCCACACAGGGTCTGGAGCTATGAGCTGTGCTGGATCACGGTGGGGGGATCAGCCAACTTGTAGGGGATACCTTGGCTCACAGGGGTCTGAGGGAGGCCCAGAGAGGCCGAGCAACCAGGCGGCCCATACCAGGAGGGTTTAGGGGATGCTTGCAGCTGTCCTCATACTCTCCCATCCGTTCCCCTGCACTCGTGGAGACAGCTGCCCCTTCACGCGCACAGGCCTGCCTGAAATCCACTTGCACACGCCCCTTCTGCCCCCGCATGCAGGCCGCAGCCTGTCCTCCCGCCCTCCGTGCAGACCGAGGCTGTTGGGGCAGGCTGGTGCTCAGGGGCTGCGAGTGGCTTCAGCTTAGGGAGCAGGTTTGGGGGTACAGGCGCCACTGGGAGCCCCGTGAGAGGAGGGTCTCTCACTCATTAAGTCCCAGGACTGGGGAAATGCAGCCTTTATTGAGCACTGGCTGTGTACTGACAGTAGAGCCCAGGCCCTGGGCGGTGGGCAAGATGGACACGGTGTGCTCCTCTGACGGGCTGAGATCCACTGCAGGAGGGAGTCGGCAGCCCTGGAACTGGTTCCCAGAATTTCAGGGAGCGAGGAGAGCCAACTGAAGTAGGGCAGGGTGAAGGGGCGAGGGAGCAGGGATGGTCTGGGAAGGCGCCTGCCAAGAGGCGCCTTCAGAAAAGGTCCAGAGTAAGAGGAAAGAGCCAGTCACGGGACTTACAGGGAAGAACTTTCCAGGTAGAAGGAACAGAAAATGCAGAAGCCTTGAGGTGGGAGGACGGGGGTGTGAAGAAGCTCGGGAGGCAGGAATTTGGATTCTCTCCTGCTGTCAGGGAGGCGCTGAGGGGGATGACGTGATCAGACTTTTGAGATCAGTTCTCAGGAAATACTTGCCGAGTGAACAGGGCTCTCAGGAGGAGCGCCCACGGCCAGGTGGGCTATGGCCTGCTCACCTGGCCCCTAGAGTAGGGAGCAGCAGCTGACAGGGTTTGGGGGTCACCACTCATTCAATTGGGGCTGTTTCTGCCTCAGTTTCCTCATTAGTCTTGGGACTCCTGGTTTCCCCCGGGACTTGACGGTGCCTCCTGAACCCCCCAGTTGGTTTGGCTCTGGCGGGGGGGGGGGGGGGGCGGGCAGGGGGTCCCTCCTTCTTGTTGCTGTTGTTTGAATTCCCACTTCCTGCCACTGAACTACCCCCACCCCAAGCACACACACACAAGCGCACGCATGCAGACACACACGCGCACACACTTCCCCTTCCGAACCGATACTGACTTGCCTTCCTGTGCGGAGCCCCATGGAGGCTCCAGTGGGCAGCAGAGAGGGAGGTGGGGACCGCCAAGGAAAGCACATGCCCCCCCCCCCCCCCCCCCCCCCCCCGCAGGGTGAGGGCATGGAGGGGGGGCAGGTTCACCCAGCCCCCAGCCGCAGCAGACAGGCTGTGCGCAGACAGGCTGTGCGGAGGGTCAGGGGGTCACCTGCCCATCTGGATGCCTGAGAGAACTGGCTGAACTGGTTGTGGGAGCTGAGGGCAGCTCTGATGGTGGCTGGGGAGAGGCCGGGGTTGCCTGGGGCACAGAGGGCAGCGGGGTGACTCAGGCAGGGGCATGATGGGGAGGCAGGTGGCAACCATGCCATGGGGCTGCACACTAGGGTTGCAGGCTGAGGCCCATGCCCTGAAGGTGGCAAGGAGGAGGCCGAACCCGGGATCTCCCCGCTGCCCAGGCCCCTCTGCAGACGTGGGCATGTGTGGCAGGTTGGTACTTGGCGGTCTGCAGAGTTTCCCAGGGTCTGGTTCTTGGGCAGACTCTGGGAGTCTGGGGGGGTACTTCCTGGATGCGAACCATTTCCAATTAAGGCGAATGCTCAGGACAGGGCAGGTGCCATCCCGTATGGAGGGGACGGCTTCTCTCCTGACTTGAGTTGATGTCAGTCCTCTTTAAAAAGGCAGTTCAGACGCAAGCTCTCGCTAAGCACAGCCCTCCGGCGGGCAGTAGGAAGGCGTCGAGGGCTCTCCCTGGCCCTCATAGTCATGTGCTGGGTGCCATCACATGCTCCGTTGGTGGAGAGGTAGGAGCAATAAGCAAGTGCAGGGTCTTGGGGCGCAGGGGAGCCTGCTCAGCGCTGGGTCACCCCGTCTGCATGTTCTCCCTGCCTGTGCTCCTCACCAGCCCCACCAGCAGGAGCGCTCTGCAGCTGGCCGGTCTGAGGATCCCAGCCCAGGGAGTGGTGGGCCGGCGTCCCTGCCCCCACCCCAACCAGCCTCGGCTGCAGGCCCTGTGCTGCCTTCAGAGCCTTAGCAGATGCTCTTCCCCCGCCACATCTTCCCGCAGGTCTCAGCATTAGCCTCTCCCTGCCGTTGCCTGCCCCGACGACGTTTAGTTAGCATGTGACACCGGCGCTTTCTGGCAGGCCCTCCCCGCATCTGTGTGACAGGTGCTTTGATGTACCGACTGGCCGTTCGCGGTCTGGCTCCTGTACCAGGCCTGAGCTGGGTTGGGGTGGGGTCCCTCGGTCCCACTGTCCCCGGAGCTCCTGGGCACATCCCTTCCCCAGGCTGGTGCAGTCCCTGTGGGCACAGGCTGCTGTCAGCTGCAGCGCTCACAGGCGTTCCGGAAGACGTGGTCAGCTCTATCTGTCTCCCGTTCACCAGGCGGGCGGATGTCATTTCCCTGCTTTTGAGCCCCCCTTGATCACCACCCAGCTCGGGCTCCTCTGGTCCCTCAGCAGTGTCTGAACTCCTGGTGGTGCCAGGCTTCCAGAACATGCACCTTAAACAGAAGAGCCTGCCCGACCTCTGACCCTCACTGAGCCTCCCTTGCAGCGGGTCTCGGGTTGCTGGCGCCCGCCCACCCTGCGTCTCGGCCCTTGGCTGAGGTCCGGGGCTGCCTCGCTGCAGAAGCACTACAGGGTGGGAGGTGGTGATGGCAGCCAGCTGGGGTGAGCGAAGAGAACGCTGGTCACGTCGCAAACAGGGAAACAGTAACAGCCAACTGGCGCGTTTCTCACTGGGCTGAGGGCAGGCCCATCAGGCTTAAGAACGGAGAGCCCGGCTGAGTCCACGCGCAGCCTGGGCCAAGGGGGAGTCCCCGATGTAATCTCATCTTGCCTTGTCTCTCAGGACTTCCGTGTCCAGCCCGACTTCCAGCCTCGCTGAGCGGCGGCCGCCCCCACGTGCTTCCTGCCGCAGAAGCCGCCCCACACGCCGACCATGTCTATTATGGACCACAGCCCCACCACTGGCGTGGTCACGGTCATCGTCATCCTCATCGCCATCGCCGCCCTGGGGGCGCTGATCCTGGGCTGCTGGTGCTACCTGCGGCTGCAGCGCATCAGCCAGTCGGAGGACGAGGAGAGCATCGTGGGGGATGGCGAGACCAAGGAGCCCTTCCTGCTGGTGCAGTATTCGGCCAAGGGACCCTGCGTGGAGAGAAAGGCCAAGCTGACCCCCAACGGCCCGGAAGTCCACGGCTGAGCTGGGATGCAGCGGCTCCCGGGCCGGGCTGCAGCCAGCCGAGCGGCGTGCGAGGAGCGGAATCATGCAGACGTGCTGCTGCCGGAGGAGGGCTGATGCCGGCATGGCCTCGCCTGGCTTCACCATCGCATGCACTGACTCCCGGGGTTCCAGCCGTCCCGAGCAGGACGCCATGGCCCTGGGCATCCCCTTGGCTTCCTGGCCGGGCCACCCATTGCAGGCAGTGGGCAGGCCTGGCCTTGCTGGGGCTCCTGGCCCCCTAGCGCTTTTGTTACTTGAATGTTTAGCTGAGCCTGTTTTTGACGGAGCTACTACTGTAATGCGTGAACTCACAAACCTGTGAACTGTAAATAGGCCCCCAAAGCACGTGCTTAAACCTTTTTTTGCTGATTTTTTAAACATTGTATAGAGCACATGGGACCGACCGCGCCGCGGAGGGGCTGAGCCAGGGCTAGGGAGGGGGGCGCAGACCTGTCAGGCCCGAGGTGCACTTGGAGGGGCCCGCTGATGTAGGGGTGTGTGCGCGGCCAGAGGAAGTGGCCAGTTGGTTTGAAGTCTCGCAGTGGGCCAGGGGGGGTGCTCCGGTGACCTCTGCTTGGGTAGCCGTGGGCGGAGCCGAGCCACGCCCCCCGACGTTTCTAGGTAGATCCGGAGGTGCGCCGCCTGCTCCTGTTGTCGGTGGAGCAGTTGCAAGGAAGCTATTTGAGCTGCTTGGGAGCCAGTGAAGGACGAGTCCACAGTCCTGAGGGCTGCCCGGTGGCCACGTAGCGGAGCAGTGTCTTGCCCCCTGGCCTTGCGCATGCCAGTATGCCCGTCCCAGCCCCCCCTCCCCGTCATGGCTCCGACCCCCCTGGAAACTCCCGAGCCCATGTGGCTGCCTCTACCTGAGACCCAGTTGGCCCAGGAAAGAGAAAAAAATGTGTCTCTGTGGGTTGTTGTATTTAATATTTTCTGCACTGGAAGGGGGCAGGAGAGTTGAATGGTCTCCCCCCCTTCCCTTTTCCTAAATAACGTCCTCTCAGATTACCACCCATCTGCTGGGTGCTGTGTCCACCGTCCCTGATCTGAGAGCCCCAGGCCATTTCCTGCTTACACAAGCACAGATGCCCCTAGCGGGGCGGCAGGCAAGGACAGGTTCAGGGCCTGGTTCTCACGAGGATGAGGGGCTGGTGGCTGCAGGAGAGGCCAGCACCCCAGCAGCCTCTTCTCCTAAGTGACCCTGTGTGCATGTGCCTAAGCTCGCTTAGATCTCTAGCCCACCACTGTAAGCACATTCTCCACGGCTGCAATTAAACAGGACCAGTTGGCATCCTGGGAACCAAAACTGGCCTCAGCACTGGGGCAGCCTGCCAGCAGCCGGGGCGAGGGCTCCCAGGTGGCAGCAGACCACAGCCTCCCCGCCACCCCCACCAAAGTTCTGGTCTCCTGGGCAGGCTGAAAGCGCCCCTCTGGCCTCATCAAGTCCCCACTGAGAACTAAACTACTTTCTGGAACCCCAAGCAGGGAGCTTAGGGAACACTCATTGTAGCAGCAAACATGCCTACATCGGGGGATCAAAATGAGCTTGGGGAAAAGGGAGAGAGTAGCTAATTAGGCAATTTCAACTGAAGGCATGAATGAGATACCCCAGGTGGGCGACCAGGGAAGCCTTAGAAAGCAGCTGGGCCTTAGCAGAGAGGCCATGCCTTTGGGTCCCTTACTGGGGTGGCCAGGCATGGGTCTGGAGGGACCAGGATACAGAGCAGGCAGCGAGCTGGTGAAAGATTTGGGAGGTCTGCTTTCTAATTCCCCTCTCATTCCAGAACTTCCCAGCTTTCTACCTCTACTTTCCACAGCCAGCAGCACACACCTGGGCTGTCTGTCCACCTGAGTCATCCAGGAGCAGACGTCTGGGACTTGCAGTCTCTGGGCCTGACCGTGACTGCCAGACCTGCCCTGAGCTTCTTTGCTTGCCAGTGAGGTGTTGAGATGAAGTGTCACTTTTGCCTCATTTTCACTTGTGAGGGTGGCAGCCTGTCTGCCCCATTGGTGCAGTGGCCACGCTGGGGCGGCGGGTGGGGGTGAGTGGCATGGTGGGGCACCGGTGGGGGGGTGGGGAGGTAGTGAAAAATGCCTGTAGAACTGGTGAATAACCACATAATAGCTCTCACTGTTCTTATGTATCAATAGCTACTTTTTTTTAGCGTAGACACCAGAGCCACACACTCCAATGGCTTAGGAAGTTATGACCTCTCATTGAATTCTTTCTGAATAGCCCGACTGTTGTGTGCAAGTCTTCTTACTAGTCTGTCAAGAAACTAACCTTTCATCCTGCACGTCATCGCAGCAGCAACAGGAGGGGCAGGGAGGGAACTCTGACGCTGAGCCACCGAGATACGGACTAACTTTCCAAACAGATCTTCAAATGGACTGTGCTACTGTTTCTGTCTCAAAGCTACCAAGTTTGTGCAATAAGTGGAAGGGATGGCATCCCTGTTCAATAAAAGCTGAATGACATTCAAGTTGATTTTCTAGACCACTGAGAAAATCTTTATTTACAATAAATTTCAATAAAATTTGCATAAATATTCCCAATGTACAGTGTTCATCTCTGATTTCTTCATGTCATTTTAAGAGTTCATCTGTCCTATTCTCGTTGCTCCTTTCGGCCGCCAGCGCAGTGCTGATGTTGGGAGGCGGCGCAGAGCTGCCAGGCAGCCGGGGGGCACCTGCGGGCTCGGGGCGGTCCGAGTGCACCTCTTTTGGGGCGGCCAGGTGCTGGGCTCCGTCCTGGCCCTCCAGTTTCCGCTCCATGGTGGCCACGAGGATCTTGAGCCAGGCGTTCTCGGTGAGGAGGCTCTCTGAGGCGTCGGCCAGCTCCTGGAGCTTGCGGGCCACCTCCTCCAGCTCGCGGGTCTTTTGCTCATACAGGGCCTGTAGCTGCTCGCTGTGCAGCTGGAGCAAGCCGTGCTGCTTCTCCAGGGTCTGCTTCTGCCGCAGCAGCCGGTGCTCGTCCCTGCGCGCGCTGGACAGCCGGGCCTCCACCTGTACCTGCGCCCGCTGCAGGGTGCTGATCTCTGCTCTCAGCTTCTGGATCTCTCTCTCCAGGTGGGAGATGTGTCCCTGCTGGAGCACGGCCTCGCTCTGAAGACACTCTTTGGTAGCAGGGTTAGCCAAGTTGTGGGGGGCAGAAGCAGGGTTTGAGTGATGCAAAATGAACCTCAGCAGGTTTGGAAGGGTGATGGGGAGGTCTTCGGGGTATTTCACACTGAGGTCCTTTCTGGAGGGAAAGGGGAAGAGTCAGAGATGAGAGTCACTGACATTGCAAGGCCAAACCCAGGATGCTGGTGAGGTCAGTGCAGGCCTGACCAAAGACAGCGAGGACTGTATGCACTGAAAGGTCACGAGGAAAATGTTATCTGGGCCCCCAAAATCGCTACAAGGCTGCAGGTGCCCAAATGCTTGTTCTGTAAGGAAGGTGGCTTATGTTAAATGCGTGTTTGTTCCTGAGGGCAAACAACTCAGTTTGTATACACAACTTTCCAAAAAAGACCAGCGCTTCCGGGCCCCAGCATGGAGTCAGTGACGTGGGTGCTGGGAGAGCTGGTGGAGGGGCCTTCATGCATCTGACTGCCATGGCGTGTCAGGAAGCGCGACCTGGGGCAGGACCACCACATTGTCCCTCTGTGGCCTTCTCGGTGCTTGGTGAAAGGGCAAACGCCTGAAACACCTGGTTTCTTCAGTAAGTGCTTATTATGCACCATCCAAAGCAGGAGTTTGTAACTGGGGGTGACTATACCCCCTCACTTGGGGACATTGGCAACATCCAAAGACATTTTTATTGTCACGACTGGGGAAGTGTTACTGGACCCCCAATCCTTGACAAACCAGCCAAGGGACTCTGAGGGGCCGGCCCTGAGAGCATGGATGAAGGAGAGAAGGTCACTGGTGGAGGCATCTCCCCTGAAGTTTGGTTGCAAGTCCTGTGGTAAAAAGTTCCTTTCTAGAACTTCTCATTTAGTTGTCCGATGACCAAAAGGTGTACACAGATGCATTTACCTGTGTACATACAACTAGCTGCAGTGCCTGACAACCCCAGCTCAGTGCATGACATGGGCACGCAGATGGCCCCAGAGGCCCTGCCCAGAGTGGACACGCAGGACTACGCTCGCCATCATGAGCTCCTGCACAAGTGACTGTATTGTGCCCCTGAACTGCCATACCTGTAAAATGGGGGTAAGCCTATCCCCTCTACCTCACAGGATGTTGTAAGGATAATGTGGGTTAAGTGAACGCTCAGTGTTTGCTAAAAAAAAAAAAAATTCACATTGTTCCTTAAAAAAAAAAAAAAACACAAAACCAACCAGCAGGGCCTCCCCGATGGCGCAGGGGTTAAAGACACAGCACTGTCAAGCTACTGCCAGCCACTGCAGCACAAGTTTGCTCCCCAGCCGGCCAGGGAGCTGACCCACACGGCGCAGCAGACCTCTCCTGTCTCCCCGCTGCTCCCCTCAACAGTGTATGTCAGTGTTCTGCTCCCCACTCTGTCTCTGGTGAATCCTCCCACCCCCCGTATCTCTGGCCTACACCCCAGTTCTTGTATGCATAAATAACTAAATCTTAAAAAAAAATTAAAAAAACAAAACAACCACCAGAAACCGTTCATTAAAAGCTTACACCCAGGGCCTCCCCGGTGGCGCAGTGGTTGAGCGCTGGGTTGCGAAGCTGCCCGCGGCCTCTGCGGCGCCGGTTCGATCCCCGGCTGCTCCCCGGCCACTGGAGGGGGGTCCCACATGGCGTGCAGACCTCTCCTGCCGCCCGCTGCTCCCCTCAGCAGTGTACTGCGGTCCTTCTGCCTGCTCTGCTCCCCGCTCTGGCTCTGGTGAATTCTCTCACCCTCCCGTGCTTCTGACTGTACCCAGTGCATGTATAAACAAAACAAACAAACAAATAAAATAAAACATGCCTCTATTAAAAAAAAATTAAAAAAAAAAAAAAAAAAAAAAAAAAAAAGCTTACACCCACCCCCTCCCACAAAGTCAGTGGCCAAATATCTAAGAAAAGACAAATGGTATTTTAATGGAGGAGGCCTTTCCGCAACAAATAAAAGGCACCAGGAAATTCAACCCAGATCTGCCCCATTTTATACAGTGTTTATGGAAACTTCCAGGTAAATGGAGTAACTGCACACGTGAAGAACTTGGAGCTCTGCAGGTGAATTGTTTGGGGAAGTATTTCTGGGCTAAGTGCACAGCCACACCCTCCTTTAAAACATCATTTTCTTAACATGTAAGTTTTCTCCAAACGGGGTCTCCCAGCCATTCACTCAACAACGAGCCACACCCTGGCATCTGTGAAGTGGAGGCGAGGAAGGACAAGCAGTGCTGACCTGCCACTCAATTCCCTCCGCAGCACGAGCCTGGTAGTCCAGGAGAGCGCGCGCGTGAACACCCCGGCAGGAGTGGCGGGAACCCCCTCGCGTGTGCATTGGGAGACATTCTGACGCCACAGGAGCCTGGTGCGCCCGCTATTTCCCACAGTCTTTGTGAATCACTCCTTGACAGGTGTGCTAAAATGGTTTCCAACTTTTCAGAAATAGCAAGGACTTACACAACAGCTACTCCAGAGAATGGGCTGACAGGGGGAGCTGCTCCTCAGAAGAAGCAAGCCCTTCCCCAGGGGACACATTACCATGAGCACCCCCTTCTACCTCCTAACCCAGGTGCCCTGAGCACCTGACTTTGCAATGTCACCTGGAGAGAAGGAGGGAGGTGCAGGGGTGAGGCAGGCCTGGCCACTCAGGTGAGGACGCGCTCACCACTGTGAGGCCCCACTCATGGAGACCGTCTGCAAAGGGCCTGAAGGGCACCCCCAGATCGCTCACTCCTCCTGCCAGTTTCCCTTCTGTGCCCATTTTGGCCCAGTGAACATGTAAATTTTTTCTCAAAACATGTACACTTTATCATCTTTCACTGGAAGAGCGCAGACGGCACCGTGGGAAAGGGCTCGCCATGTGTCGCCACAGCCTTTCCACTTCCTCTTTTGCAAGCTGCCAGCCGTGTCCTTGGCCCACCTACCTTCTTTCTGAGTAAACTCAACAATCACTCCGGGCCAGCCAATGCGGCACGCGCTTTACTCCTGCTCTTTATCTTTAGGGGGCCAGAAGCCCACTCCACGCAGTGAGGCCCAGGCTTACAAGCACTTTCCATGAACACAGAACGGGATGGTCCATTCGTTCAAGATTTATATTCTAGCCCTCAGAGGGCTGGAGAACTGGCGTCATCACCACGTTGATGGTGTCAGACATTCGTAGGCCCAAAGGCCCTGGACCTGGACGGTACCCCCTGAACATCGAGGGCGTCTCCTCATTGTATAGCCACGAATCACAGCTGCTGTGCATTAGGACCTGAACCCGCCTTCAAACTATGTCTGGAATTCAGATATTATGCCTCCTTAAAACTTCAGACCCCCTCTGGGCGCACAGATGAAATGGCCAGTGCTGCTGCCCATGATTGCTGACTGCGTGGACTTTACACACTTCTTAGAGGGAAACAGCTCATCGGGACAGAGTCAGCAGTGGGGCAGAGCGAGTCATGCTGCTTTCAGGGCTTAACTGGACAAGACGCTACCACCATAGGAAATAGTTCAGCAGAAATTCTTTGCGATAAAGACCACGGACTGAGGAAATGATCCGATCCGGGTGCAGGAAGCACCCTCCTCGGGAAGCCTGGCAACAAACAAGTGTGAGCGCAGACCTCCACAGTGAACACTGCGTGTCAGGCGGGCCTCACCAGCATCACCCTGCGCAAGCTCATCCCTGTCTGATGCTGTCGAAGCTGGGCAACTGGGTCCCCTTTTAAGAACAAAAGGGGATCTGTGAAAGGGGAGAGAACATCTGGTCTGTCGAGCTCTCATGGCCAAGAGTTCATTTCCGTTTCTACGGAAACATCCTCATCCGCACCCACTGACTGCGCAGCCCACACCCCTGCGGCTGCCGCCATCACCGCCTGTGGGGCGCCACTTAGACAAACGTAAAGGATCAGGGTGGCAACCTGGGGTGGACATCCACAGGCATCTACACACTTGGGGAGAGCTGTGTGGACCCCAGGACAGGGGCAATGTGGGTAGAAGAGTTTCGTTCCCTCCCTGCAAGGGGGTGAAGAAGCTGTCGGAGGGGCCCGTTGAGAAATGATGCACAGAGAAGTGCAGCTCACGGGAGGGTGGGGGTGGGGGGGCAGCTGTTCTGCCCCATAGGAAGGACGGGATTCTCTGCAGTCAAGCTTTGCACCCACCGTGTGCTCACTAGATCAAGAAAATGAAGGTGTTCCGATGGCCACCTTCACATTCGCGTACACAACACAACTCTGGGAAGGCAACATGCCGCAAAGAGCACCGCCACCCTCGACTCTGACAGCAAAGCCCTTTCACTCTGGGTCGTAACAGCACGTTATGGGAACAATACATTTTATTCAAAATCATTGAGTGATCACCAATGATTCGCATTTCACTTCTGTGAAACAGCAGACTCATTTCATTTACAGCCAAAGAATCCCATCTACCCAAATACTGAAAAAAATTACCTGTTGCAGGGAAAAAATAAGACGGTAGGAAGACGG